GTTTCAGGAGGAGACTCGCGTATTATATTTGATGGAAAAATACGGACACAGGTGGCATCAACGTTGCATGAGGCATCAAGGCGTGCAACCGCTGAGGTTGTCGGACGGTGCTTGGTTGAAGGAGGTTCTCTTCAATCCCAGTTCTCGTCTGGCACGCCAAGTCGCATGTAACATGACCGAGAGTCTGTGCCAAGGTATAGAGAGGAAGAAAGAGGTTCTGGTTTTGTTGACGTGTTACTTGGAAGAGCTACGTACTGCCGGCGAGAGTAGCACCGAGTTCCTCACGTTGTACCAAAGCTTGATCAGACAGTCTCCTTGGAAGCAATTCCTGGCAATACGCGGTGTGATGACTTTGTTGGCGGAACTTTTGACCCGAGAAATAGAGGAATTGCACAGGCTGGAGGAGACTACTTTAACCAGCGATCTCGCTCAGGGCTACTCGTTGAAGATGCTCACGGAACTTTTGGCGACCTTCTTGGAACAGGAAAATATCAAGCAGCAATATAAAGGCCGACTAGTCGGCGCGGTGCTAAACGGTTATCTATCACTTAGGAGACTCGTTGTTCAGCGTACTAGACTAATCGATGATACGCAAGAGAAGCTGTTAGAACTTCTAGAAGAAATGACTACCGGTAATAATTTCGGAGTTCTGCGTTTATAAATATTTTCAATGATCCTTTGCTTGTGTACACGAGAATAAAATGTTTATCTGGTCTATCAGGCACCGAAGAGGAAACTAAGGCATTCATGGCAATTTGCGTGGAAACAATACAGAAACAGAATCCTCAAGATGTTCGTACTCCAGTGTTCATATTTGAAAGATTATGTTCGATTATTTATCCAGAGGAAAACGATATCGGAGAATTCTTCATAACACTTGAGAAGGATCCACAGCAGGAAGATTTCTTGCAAGTGAGTCCACGTGTCCATTTCCGAATAAGATTTTTTATTTTTACATAGTGAATATATTTTAATTTTTTTTAAATACTTTTATAGGGGAGGATGTTAGGAAATCCTTATAGCAGCTTAGAACCTGGCCTTGGACCACTTATGAGAGACATAAAAAATAAAATTTGTCAAGATTGCGAGTTAGTTGCACTTTTGGAAGATGATAACGGAATGGAACTTCTTGTTAATAACAAAATTATTAGTCTGGATCTTCCTGTTAAGGAGGTAAGAGTTGATTCCACGGTTTCTGATAAAAATATAAAATCCATCTTAAAAATATTTACATTATATTTACGATTTTGTCTACGGAAATTGTTAATTAAAAAAAATTATATTTTATTCCCACTAGAGGTCAGACAATAATATGTTTTTTTCCTTATTTAGGTTCACAAGAAGATTTGGATGCTGGAAGGTATCGAATGCGACGCCATGCGCGTAATATATCGTATGCGTGGCCTGCTTGGAGACGCAACCGAAGAATTTGTCGAAACTTTGAACGCCAACAGTGAGCAGGAGGTGAACAACGAGGAAGTGTACAAAATGGCTAATGTGCTAGCAGACTGCGGCGGTCTTCAAGTTATGTTGGACAGATTGGCGGCGATACACGATGTGAATCGCGCGAGACCCCTTCTTCAAGTGCTGTTGAAATTGTTCAGATTGTGCGTGAAGGTTAAGAAGAACCAAGAGGTTTTAAGCAAACCCGAATTGGGAGCGGTAACCGTATTTTTGGACGTTCTCCAACGTTGTCTCGCCACAGAGTCGGAAAATTCTCAAGCACAAATTACTGAACAATTGTTGGACGTAAGTATAACGGCAGAGGAGATATTTTTATTTTAACACTGTGTGAGCGATACGTGACTATATGACATTGATTTTAGATTATGGAAACGATACTGGCGAACGCAGCGTCGCAACCGTTCAGTGCGTTCGAAGCATTTTCGCGCACTCTCGGTGGCCCGGAACATATTAAGGCCCTCTTATCGTGCACGCAATCCACGGCAGTCAGGCAAAGTGCTAGCGTGCTCGCCCACCTCGCGAGAGTCTTGGCGGCGTTGACTTACGGCAATAAAGAGAAAATGGCACTTCTGTGTGATTACTTCAAGCCTGTATTAAACTTTTACAAGTTCGATTTCGAGCACACGCCTGAAGACGAGCAGAAGTTAGAACTGTTCTGCATACTCACTCAAGGCATTGAACGAAATGCCATTGGTAATACGCTGAAGGATTACATTATAAGCATGGGCATAGTGAAAGATGCCTTTGAGTACATCACCGTGAGTATAAAACGATATGTATACACGATAAGTACACGTATAAAGAATATGTCACACGCTTAATAAATATTTTTCCATGTTTTTGCAGGTGCACGCTCCATGCGTTAAACCCACGCTGTTACGCACAGATAGCGATGAATTGAAGGAATTCATATCTAAACCAGCTCTGAAATACATCCTGCGATTCCTCACAGGGTTAGCTACAGATCATGAACCGACTCAGGTAATACAGATAATATATTCTATCTTTATAATCCTTTTGTTAATAAATGACATTGAAATGATAATTTATTTATTTTTTATTTTGTTGCAGCTGGCAGTCTCGCAAATAACAATTAGCATCATTCATCGCCTGGAACAAGTGTCTTCAAACGAGCACGTTGGCTCACTAGCGGAGAATTTGTTGGAAGCGTTATGCACCAATAAGCGAGTGGCCGAACTAATTGAAGAGGCCCGCCAGCACACGCGCAGCGAGAAGAAACGCTTAGCCATGGCGATGCGTGAGAGACAATTGGGCGCACTTGGTATGCAAACGAACGATAAGGGCCAGGTCACCGCCAGCGGAACGATTCTTCAGCAGATGGAAGACTTGGGGGATGAGACCGGACTGATTTGTGTTATCTGTCGCGAAGGATACAAGTTTAAACCAAACATGGTAATATATTCTTTTTGTTATATATCTTAGAATTGAACATGCGAATGTTTCCCGCGTTATATTTTAATAAGAAATTTGGAATCGATTTCTGTTAGCTACAATATTCTATTAGCGTCAGTATTATGCAATTTATATTATCAGAAGCGTTAAATATTTTTCTGTTCATATTTCCTTTATTATCTTGTTTAATGATTATGTCCCTTATCGTTATTTTGTTACAGGTGTTGGGTGTTTATACATTTACGAAGCGCTGCAACGTAGAAGAATTTGAAACGAAGCAACGAAAAACTGTGGGCTACACGACTGTCACGCATTTCAACGTGGTCCACGTAGACTGCCATATGTCCGCGGTGCGTTTGGCGCGCGCTCGAGACGAGTGGGAAAGCGCGGCGTTACAGAACGCCAATACGAAATGCAACGGGCTGCTGCCGTTGTGGGGTCCACAAGTACCGGAGTCTGCTTTCGCCAGCTGTTTAGCTAGACACAATACCTACCTGCAAGAGTGCACTAGTCATCGCGATATATCTTACTCGTCGACCGTTCATGATCTGAAGTTGCTTCTTCTGCGATTTGCTCAAGAGAAGAGTTTCCACGAAGACACCGGCGGTGGAGGTCCTCAATCGAATATGCACATAGTACCGTATTTAATACACATGGCTCTGTATGTCGTTAACACGTGAGTATATTTTGATAGCGTACTAGAAATGATAAAGAGAAAGGAAGGTCATAAAAAGTTGGAAATGAAAAAAAAAGGAAACTAATGCAAAAGTTATGCTTATTATTAATACACATTGATATTTATTTTCGTAGAACGCGGTCAGCAACCAGAGAGGATAAAACTTTAATGACTTACCTGGAGGTACCGTCAGGCTCGGCATGGCTCGATAGTTGTTACGAAGCAGAGGGTCCATTGTATCAATGCACACTTTCGCTACTTCTATTTACACCTGCCCGTTGGAAATCTCATAGACTTACGCATCTCAATCGATTACTCGTCCTTGCACATCAACGTTATGTGTCCCCTTCAGCCACTACGAAAACCATTATGGAACCAAGCGCCAAGGATTACGCTATTTACAAAAATATTCTTATCTTCTTCGGTCTAGTGGATTCGATTTATGCGAACTTCTTCAAGGTTGGGAGCAACTTTAAATAATTATTAATTACGTACCAATCGCTAAATTATTAAATACGTAGTTAACTACGTTAACTATGTAGTTACATCTGTTTGTCTAAATCATACTTTTTTTTATGCTTACAGAAAGTAAATGTTTTATCCGACGACCAGTGGCCTTCGGTTCTGGCTGAATACATCAGGCATAATGACGAAGCCATGCTAAAAGCCTCGGAACGCGTACTTTCGTCGTATCGCGATGAATTGTTACCGTGCACATCATTCGAGGAATTTTGCGATATTGTTGGTAAGTTTTATAAGTTTAAGAATAAGAAATCAAAGAGCTCAGTATTTAATGAATTAAAATGTTCAAAATTCGTTCTTCTTTAAACGAATCTTATGAAGATCTATCTTAAAACTTCATTTTTCTATTAAATCTTTCAATTATTCATTTGCTTTTATTTGATCTAATTGAAATGTAAATATGTCACATTGCAGGCTTATTAGAAGATATAAGAAATCCATCTACGTATATTACTGATGTCCTACGACGCCTTGCTTGAAGATATTGGAAGTTCTCATTGTGTAGCTTACTACATCATTGTTACCGACGAATCAGTTTTCCTTTCTGTTCTTTTGATCAATCGATATAAATCCTTTTAAAAGATTTTTATCAAAAAGGATTTTCATGTTCTATATTAAAAATTGATTCGACGTGATAATATATACCCAATACAGACGGAACTGTCAGGGTGAACATCGCGTTATACATGTGTGATGAAAGATATAAATTATTATAAATTATTCTTTATCGCTGCTATGAATCTTTACTTGTAGACAGATGTGTATATGGAAAAAAAACTTATGCTTTAATAAAGTGCGACTAAATAAAAGTGTTTAAATATACATGTTGATCTTTCTAAGATTATTTGTTACCGTCGATGTCATCTCGCATCTTTTCTTTGGACATTAGGATGGGATAAATAAAAATCGATAAAAAAAAACAAGATTTTGTACTAACAGTTTTTCCTGTTTACTACCATTAATATAATAGCAAATACTGTTACAATACATTGTGTAGGAATGGTGTACGATCGGACACACGATCATTTGTATAAATGTTTCTTCGCTTGCTATTAACTTTATATTCTATACTATACGATTAATGACGTTACTGTTAAGATGCTGCTAAAACTATTGTTAACACTATTGTCTATGTTGTATAGCCTCCGTTTTCTCGAAAAATTTATTTCGCACGTGTAATTTTATTTCATATTCAACAGTTTTCGCTTTTAAATATTAATTATTAAATTCGCACTTACGACGCGCGATATTATTTTTTGGCAGTGAAACCGATCTTTTAAAAATGCGAAATGTAGAAAAAAAGAGTATCAAAATGTCGAGTAAATTTGCTTTCGCTCAACTTGGACATGGACAAATGTTGTATAAATATGTATATATGCCAACGTTAAATTCGTTTATTAGTCATAGTATGTTCTTTCAAAGAGTTATCTGTTTTGTCTCTTCTTTTTTTTTCATTTTTTTTTTATACAAGCACCTCAAACATTTTTGAGTTATATCGTAAATAAGATATGATGTGTATATATGATTACCTAATTATTACAAAGCTGTCGCGGCACAATAAACAATCGTTTGCAAATTAATATAATTATGCTGATGTCCGACACATCACGGTACTCATTATTTATTTAATTTCTTTGCAATTCTCGCGCTCTTACTGCAAATTGGAGAATAATAAATAATTATTCTACGTCGAATTTAACGGGGCATATTTTACAACAAATCTCATGTGGTATATACGCAATTTTTTTTTTCATTATATTCGTTGGCTCGCGAGATATTTCGCATTGGCTTAGCGAACAATATTTGTCGTTTCGAATCCTCGATCGTACGAAAGATCGAGCCGCGAGTAGTCCAAAGTGTAAATCCCTTAACTAACTACTCGTACTGGCAAGCTACGTGTACGCGTTGCTGCGTGTCTAAATCGTTACACCTTCACACGTAAACAATCTACTTCGAATAAATTACTTTAAGGCTACGTCCTCGTCGATTATATCATAATATTTCGTACTCTTTCTGAGACACTATCGTCATAACTTACGAACGGGTTTAATATACAATATAAGCGTGGGATCCGTCGTGTGGCGAACCGTGGCGGTTTAGCCGAGACCAAAAAGCCATTAAATGAGACGGCGAACGCGAGTAATTTTAACGTATCATCTGATTCTAAGCTTGAAACCTGTTGCTTCATTTCGTGTTTCGCGTGCCGGAAGAAAGATTGCAATTAGGTCTAATATAAAAATAATCAATTTTTTTCCCATTCTCTCTTGGAACGTTTGGTTCGCCAATTGTATTCGCAGAATTGAAAAAAGAAAAAAAAACAAAAGATTTATTTTCACTCCATATACGCAAGAATTATATTCGCGCGTTTTGAATGAATGCGGCAGTTTCGAAAAGAGAGAATCTCCCCAAGAATTCGTCAATGACAATTCGATCGCGGAATTTGTTTAATTTCATCGCATTAATTTTCGCACAGGACGAATGTGTAAACATCGCAGTGACTTATGCTATGCTAGAGTCTTGACATCTACGGTATGTGCTTAGTTCGTCTAAAAAAAACAACGATTATAATGATATTAATTATAATAACGAAAAGAAAAAATGATGGTGGTACCAATAGCATGATAATAATACAGTATGACAATAATAACGATAAGGATGTTATCTACAAGAATGCGACGGCACGTGATGAGCTACGTATGCCGCCGTGTGACGGTGACTTGCTTACGAATATACGCGCTCTTACAAATCGATAAATAGCAGTCCTTTATATTACTGCCGTAACGGACGCAACATAAGAGAAGAACTATTCCGCTCGCAGCGATATTTTACTTGACGAGTCATTCATCGTTGTGTGTGGCGAAATATGCTAATTATTCTCTCGGTAATCCGGTGCGATCGTGATTCTCTTTTCTTTTTCAACATCGTTGTTACTCGTCGATACACTTAATTATATACGGCGGATTTTCACATGCACGCACGCACGCACGCACGCACGCATTGCAGCGCAATTAATTAATTGCGGCAAACGTACACACTTATACACGTTAACAAACAGCTAATAACGTCGCCGGTCCAGCCGCTCGATTTCCTCGTGCCGACACGGAATCGCGGCGGATTAATTCCTCGCGTGGGGGCGATTAATCAGTTACGTCGGATTCTTTGATGAAGACTGGAAAGAAGAGCTAGCCGAGCCGTGACGTCATTTTGCAATCGTATACGCTATATAAAAAGAAGGAGGAACTAACGAGATTTTCTGGGACGACCTGATTCTGATTGCGAATAACTCGATTGATTCTCAAAAATTGACAAGCGAGTTCGTGGTTATCCGCAGGATAATTTGCAGCTATCATTTGAAACGTCAGGAGTAACATTTTTTTTTTACGAAAGAATGAGAGAAGGGTAATTTATTGAAACTTTCGATATTCGAGATTAAATTGGGTTAATTATCGAGCTTGAGATTGGAAACCATGTTAAAATTTAAAGACTCGACATTAAATTTGACTCACTTCGCGAAAATGCTTTTAGCCCATAAATCGTTGACGACTCAAAAGCTATCCCGTGATTTTGTTCATAAAGGTGTTAAATCGCGGATTTTAAGGAAAGACTGCTCGTGACATTTCTTGTAATGTTAATCGCGAGTCATTGTACTGTTCGATATCTGGACGGGTTTTGCGTTTTTTTTTTATGAAATGAGAAACATGGCAATCATTTCACTTTTCCCGCGATATAATAGTATATATAATAGTAATAGTAGATAATAGTAAGATCGCGCAAAACGAGGTACTCTCATTCGGAAATCAGGTAATCTCGGTTGGATCTCGGTGAATAACGGACGCGCGTTTTCAGTCTCTTCCTAGATGCTGCACGTAAAACACAATGACTTCCCTAATTTCTAATCCCTAATCACTAAATTTCGGCGCCCAAATCAACTGTGAACGCCAATCTCGTACGCCAAGATTCGAAAACTCGGGCGAGGTTCCGTTTATAATCCTATACATCCGACTACATCGTACAACTAATCCTACCTATATCGATTTCTGATCAGCAATCACAATTCCGTGCGATTAAAATGCGCCGCTGTTCTTCGTTATGCACAATCATATCACAAAACGAAATGCTTTGTCCTGATAACAATGTAAAACGATCCCGTCGAGTTATATACTTTCTCGTGTTGCGATACGTCTGTCCGGATATATAAAACGAAACGAATCGTCGCTGAAAATTGTATTCCCGATTATTTCTCGATCGTCATAACGAGATACATCACACACGCAAACAGCTCGCGCAATCCGTTCACCGCTGTTCAAATGCAGACGCCGACATTTGGGACAGGCAATAAATGGAACGGTGACCAAATCGTTGTGGAGCGTTATTAATCCTTTAATTCGCGAAATTTCGTATATATACACCACGTATTCTGATTTCAGAATTGAGAATTGTGCGATGAGAAAGCGAGTAAAACGGTCAAAATAAAATATTAATCGAAGCTCTCCTATTAATTTGACCCTTTATGCTATTCTATACCTTCGTCAATATGGAACCGATGAATTCAAAGAATCGCATAAAATAAACATCGTGATATTTCGTCGCGTCTTCGTCCCCGTTTTCCCTGTCAGGGAAAATTTTTGAGAGAAAGCGATCACACGTGTTGCAGCTATAAAGGGTCAAACTCGAGGAACCGACCGACGGCTTCGTCATCGTCCGGTTTCTCCTTGTATACGCGATTCGGCGTGCCGAACGCCGCGTTTGAAAGGCATTTCAGAAGGCATTGAATTCCCAGTGTGTATTGTCACGAGTTGACATCGATTACATGCCTTGACCTACCTACACGTGATTCTGTTTACGTGCGCCTCGCGATCATAAAGCCCCGGGGCCTGACGCGAAACCTGACGTCCCGCTACGCCTCAGAGAGCGCCGGATGTGGAGAGCGATCTGTATCTCGAGTCTAGGAAAGCTCGACGTACGAGTTAATCATTGTGTTGTGCCTTCCGGCGAAGAGGGCACACCTCGTCACGTTAAAATCGCTCGAAAAATTGTTAAGCCGAAGTCGGTGATTCGTTGTACTATCGAGCGACTATGTGTATTTTATATAGTTTGACTCGGGGTGGATCTTCGTTGCAAAAGTGTCTCAGTAATTCAAGCAATTTTTGTGATCGATTTATTTGTGTGTTGACAATGCCGTTTGCGTTGCCTGATCCATTCTGTATAACGAATCACTTCATAATTCTAAATGTATAGCATGAAGAAGTATTTGCTTTCTTCAAAATCGTATAATACTTGTACATAATACTAAGAAAAAAAAAAAGAATTCTTCAAAGTGGCAGTTGCGCGGTTAGTGTATCCTGATTAGTCTTAATGTACCTGATAACAGTAGTATCCCTGATGGCAGTACATATAGAGCTTCGCGGGAGTCCTTCTAGAGTTCCCTTCCACGAAGTCCTTCCTCGGCGTATCCGCTTCCCTCGACGGAAAATTAAATGAAGAATACTTATAACGCGAGGGATATCGAATCTGTCTCTGATAAAGTGAAAATAACGCTTCTATAAAGTCTCTCTTTACGAACGAAAAAAATATTTTAACGCATCGAACCATGAACAATTAAAAAAAATTTTCGGAGCTTTAAAAACTAAAATTCATAAATAATTCTACATCCTTCGTCCGTTTTCGTCGCTGACGTCGAAAACCGCCGCGACGGTCGTCAGTATAAAATGTATTCCCAAAACGACCGAATCGAAATCGACATTCGATTCCTTTTATAGAAAAAACGATCGGATGGAGAAACGTTGCGTAAAAGGATCTACTCCCGAACGGTCGCACAAACGGATTACTCGTGCGCGGAGCGACGCACACGTCGACAAATTGCGTGTACGCGAATTGCGTGCGGAACGTTTTTACGTGCTGTACGCGCAAGTGCGGTTCTTTTTTTTTCGCGTGCTCGCGTACCGAGAACCGAAACAGGACCCCGTTCGACTGATCAACGATAAATTGTGGCTCGGAAGCCACGATGTTGCATGTTTAATGCCAACCAACGGCCGTCCCGCGTAGACCCGGCTAACGACGACGCCGATGCAGATTTATGCTAAAAGAAACGGAAAAGCGATTGCTGCTAGATTCGATAACATCCGACGAATAATGAAGGAAGAAGGACCCGCGGAAGGAAATCCCGTGATGAAACTCCCGATCGTCCTTTGGTAATACGAGGCGCAACGAACGCGAGGCCAAGGCTCTCTCTCGTTCGCCATTACGTCTCGAATTCTCGTATCCAGATCTCGAGAGAGCACAATGATCATTAGGCTGAAAGAAACCACCTTCCCGCTTTTGCTCTCGTCGAACGTTAATATTTTACCGCGAAACGTCACAATAGAAACGTAACGCGATACCTTCTTCTCGTTCCAGTCGGAAGATTTTACACGGATTAAAATCGTGTTCTTCGAGATATTTTAATAAATAGCGACGGTTACGTTAGATTAGCGTTAGCTATACAAACGAATTGTTGGTGTAAAAGATTATCTCAAAAACTGGCCGCCGAAAAACCTGCCGTAAAAATGACGAAAATCGTTTTAGAACGTAAAATTGCCGCGTAATAGCGCAGCTACGACGTTCCATTGTTAAAAGTGATTAATCTCGAGGGGAGGGAACGGGGGGGAGGGAGATACTTGCGCTCGTCGCGAGCCGATATTATTAATATCAATGAATATCGTTGTCCGCTGAAGGAAAAAAAAAAAGAATATTAACTCGCCTCGATCATAAATCACGCATTGTTTCTGCCCGCTACCGAAGGTCCGAAGAGTACGCGTCATTGTCTGTTTTAGCGGCGTAGAGCCATTACAAACTCTGATTTATGAACGATGCGTATCCGAATAGGTTCTCGGGGCTGCGTAAAGACGGCGCACGCTCGGCGTTCCCGATCGCCAAGCGAAGTAGGTAAATTCCGAACACCCTTTTTCAGACAGGTAGAAAATTAAAAAAATGTTCAAATAGCCTTCGAATCGTATTCACAGGCGGCGACGAGGTGCGCCGGACACACGCCCGTTATATTTAGTGATGAATATTCACGGTATATAAAACACGGCAGTAATTGGCCTGAGTCGTGCGGAACTCGCAATTAAGAGACGAGAGCAGAAAAGATCGAAATAGACGTGTGCCTTTTAAACATTTGTGTTGCCCGGATTAACACCCGTCGCCTCCGAATGTTCTGCACTTCTTCTCGCATCGTGCTTGCGATAGATACGTTGTAATGTATACAGACATCTGTACAATGTCTCGTCGGCTAGGAGTGCCTCGAGTGCGCGAAAGCGTCGAACTCGAGCTAAAATATCGCAATTAAAAATCTCCGGCGTGATCCGAAGTATCGTAAATCCGAAGTGTCAAATCTTTCTCGCGTCATTTTGCAAAAATTTTCAATATTACGTATGCCGTACGTAAAAGAAAAAGAAAAATAGAAATTAACGTACACGAAAATGCTCTAAAATGCGAGATCGACGAGATATTGTGGCAAAGAGTTTCTGTTAATTGCGCACGGGTGAGTAATTGCTCATGTCAGAGAAGATGGATCGCGCGGCGGTAAGTCCGGCAGTACCAAAACAGGAATGGACAATTAGCGTTCCCGTTCTTTCGTCAGCGAAATTTCACGATCTATCTTTGTCGGCGCGAGTGTACCCAGTTTTCAGATCCAATGACTAGGACTAAGTGTGTTTGCCGCCCGTTTCGTGGCAATCTGATAGATTGTTGGCGGTCAGCACCCGCGCGCTCGAACGGAGACGGTCCGGAAGTTACTACCGAGATTTTAGATAATCGTATCCGCACTGCTGATTCCCCCGATTGTATTTCGCTCGACAGATGTTACGAGACGGTTGAGTTAACGACTACAACTTCGTCAAATAGCTCGCGACAGGGAAATCGAGTCTTACGTGACTTACCTTGTACACGCATTTAAACGCTGTGTCATCCGTTTCTTTGTTCTTACCATTCTCTCTGTCTCTCAACGAATAGAAATTCGCATTTTCGTGCAAAATTTTACGGCCAAAATACGACGGAGCGTAAATAATTTCTCTCCGTATTACTGCACGAAATTGCGCTATCGCGTTTCGCAAGAAGAACTCAAACAGCGAGAAAGTACAAAACATGTCTAAAATACGTTCGGAAGGCGTCCTAAACACTTTCGGGTGTTCTCCAGACATTTCCCGGGCTTCCCTCGAACTCGCGTATTGTCTGGGAAATGTCAATAAGAAAACATTTTCAGCGAGGTCTCTCAAGCTTTGCGGGTCGACGAACCCGACGGGAGGCCTCTTACCGAATCGATCCTGCGGAAATATCCTTCGGTCGATTAATTCCGACGTTATTATACGGCGTTATTATATAATATCACGGCAATGCCTCGTTTGTATCGCCGATATACGCGAAGCTTGTCAACACGATACCTCGCTCGCGAAGAAAAAGTGAAGCGAAAGAGACCGTTTGTGACGCTGTCATTGACGCAAAGTGCAATCGCTAGTCTCCCGGTGAACGGAGACCATTCATATAGGTTCCCCCGTTACGACCCTTTCGCTCGTCGCCGTGTAAGTTTCAGAAACTTCTCCGAGGGCGACGAATTGCAGCCGCGAGCCGAACTCTCGGTAGCTTCAATCACGATTGAAATCGGATTGCTCTCGTCGCGCGCTTATCGACCAACGGGGCGACCGACGACAAGCGTGTTCGAGCGACTTTCGCAACTTGATGACTGACGCGAGACTTCCAAGCGACGGAAGACCGACCGCGGTGTACCATCTTAGCAGATGGTCTCCAACGGCGCGGTTTTGGTGCTCGGGTTTTGCGTTACGCTATCGCCCATGCTAGGCATCCCGTGGCTGGTCGTGCTGTGGCCGTTACCCTGCCTGCCGGCGTTGGTTTGCGGGTTCCTGTTGAAGTATCTCTTGAGCGCCGCTCGGACCTGCGGCTGGCAGCCGACCGCCGCGAAGATCAGCACTCCCTGGAAGGCGTTTATCAGATCGGTGAAGTACCAAATGTACTGCGGCCCCCCGACAGCCCATGAGACAACGTCGGCCACCCAGGTGACACCCATCACGATCACCAGTTTCATGCATATGCGGCCCAGCGTCGCTCTGAAAGCGGAAACAAAACAGAAAATCGCTTAACACGAGATGCTTTCAAGAAAATAATGAGAAACGTTTACGTGGAATTTTAAAATAGCATATCCTCGGAAATCTTAAAGATAGCACGACAATGACAGACAGTAAATTAATGACAACAGAACGTTGTGTGACGTCTGTAATTTCAGTCAAACTATCGGCTAGAGTCCGCACGTGTGAATCAGAGAGGCCGCAGGCACGAGAGAAGGATCATGAGTGGAATTGATTGTAATAGCTGGGTTGACATTTCGTTATTGTTATACGAACGTTGTGTGCCAGCGACGTCGCTGAATGCGATATTGCAAGAAATTATTTATCGCGCCACGAGACTCTCTCCCTGACGGTCAATAAAGCAATCGTACGCCTCGCTACACGTGACATGCGTAATGAATGTAAATGGTAAACGCGATTAATTGACATTGTTTATTTGATATGCGAGACTGCCGCTTCGCCCCGTTATATAAATAATAGGCGATTATAAATTTGCGCTTTTCTCATTGGCGTTTAACTATTGACTTTTCGAAGCTTCTGTCTCTCCCTCCCACTCTTTCCCTCTTCCTCGGGGCATGAAATATGACTCGATTCGTTCTGCGATCTCCGTGTCGAAAGGTATAGGAGAGCGAAACCTGCAATTCTTTGCGGAATGTCGGGGAACGGGTACACAAGAAAAAAGTTCCGCTCAGATCATTATCCGTTATCAAACGAGTCGTACGAGTCTCGCGGGCGAACGCGCACTCGCACTGGTGGCATCGATTCGATGCACTCTGGCATCCCATATATAATATATGCGTTCCACAGGGGGGGCCCCGAAGTCAAAGCGTTATTAATGCGCGCCGTCAGAATATTCGCGGCCCGTAACACCGTACATACACCGGGCGGTATCGCAGAGTTATGACGTCTCGTAATGTCGCTCCGGCGCGCGGCGGCGTGTGCGAGCCGGCCGGCCGGCGCGGCGTTATCCTGACGCGCCACGTTCTCTCGGTCGCAGCCACCGAGAGAATTCTATTTTCGTTGGCGTTGCTAATTATTATGAACGGACCGCGTGCAGTCACTCGGCCGTCGCGAGCGCGAAATCCGCGGAGGGGTCCCGGAGGTGAAATGGACGAGCGCCGAAAATAACGTCAAGAGGAAGGGAACGGGAGAGAGAAAGAGGGACAGGAACGACGGGAATGTTGTTGAATATGATTTGGGAATCCCGTCTATCGATAGAGACGACCGGAGTTGTCCTCGTGCAGACAATTTGGTAACTCGAAGTCGTGAGAGTGTCGGCGAACAGACAGAAATTGAAATGGCAGCAGGAAAGCGCGTGATATGTCGTTTCAATTACTGCAAGTGTTATCGCTTTAACAGTGTAAGGGGTGATGATATCATAAATGAGCGGTGAAAAGATTTAATCGGTTTTTAAGAGGGGGATCTAAACATCTCTCTGCCTTTATTCCTTTCTTGCATGTGTATATATAGAGCCTAACCGTAGGAATATGTAGAGTAGCTCTCAAGTACTCGTTCGAGAAAAAAATGATTTTATTTGAATAATTATATGCTGATGTGGAATCGGATGTGGAATCTTAGAGACTCTTACTTTTACAGATATAAAAAAAGAAAATAAAAATAATTATATTTTCCATTTTATATATACGTGTCGCTGTATTTTCTTGTATTTTTCAGCATGCATTAAATGCGCACAGAATCAATTTTGTTATTTCGCAAAAAAAAAGACATAATTGGTCAAAATTACAAAATAAGTGGCAGGAAGTCCACATCCACAGTTGAAGCTTAAGTGTAAAATAATTACAACCGCAGGAGATGCAAAATAAATGCATCTTGTTTCCGCGACGCGAAACGCGAAGGAGAGCCTGTTTTATAAACGAGGTAATATTACGCTTCCGTCGAAGCTTCCGTCCGTAGAAGCGCTACGCGGTATTACCTTCGCCGGCGTGTCCGCGCGAAAATTTCACCGGCTCGCTCGCTTGCGATGTGAATAAACGAGAAAGGTTTCGGATCGTTGCCGAATGAATGCGATACGATCGACCGTGACAGCTGTCGCGCATCGAACAAAGCGCGACCGGAAGTGGGATGTATCGACTGGAGCGTGTGGAAACGCGGAAAAGTACGATATAATTTGCGCGAGGGTCAATATTACGAACAACAATAACCGGCGAGAGAATTCCTACGGGAGGGAGGAGTGGCGAGAGCGAACGAGGTGGAATGGTGGTCCACACACGGAAGCTCCGTAAATATTGAATCCCGCCGCCGCTGTTCTGTGCGGGCCGAGCCGGGCGTGTAACGTGAGACAATAAGAAGAAGAAATGGGAGAGAACAAATGAGAGCGCGCGGGAGAGAGAAAACGCGAGAGAGTTTCAGAAGGCAACGGCCCTGGAACACAAAAGACTCGAAGGAAGATGTCCATTATCGGAGGATCGCGAGAAAGCGGGAAAGGGAAACGCGCGATTCGAGCGATCGTCATACGTGGCTTTTTCCTTTTTGGCTCTCTTCCGTCGTCGAGCAAACAAGCCGAATGAAGTCGTTACAAGACGCATCTGCTACATACATACATGAGAAAACTCCATTTTTCACACATGTACCAACTATATAGAGTCGCATTCTTTGTCGTTTATGTTACAAACGGTACAATTGATGGCTCAAACATTTTCGCACGTCGGTCCTTCGTATGAATAATACGATTTTCACAAATACATATATAAAATGTGGTGAATCGTTAAGGAAGAATAATCGACGTCGCGTTCTACGTTTAAGATAAACCGCGACGAGCTGTGATTCCGCCGAGATTTCGCGTTTCCACGCATTTATAGAGCGACTTCGAAGTCGCGCAATGAAGAGGAGCAGAGTCGAGTCGCGCAATTATTATCTCGTTTAATCGACGGAGCAAAAACGGTGAATATTGGACGAGTCGCGCGAGACGAGCTGAAGTCGGAAGATGAAAGCGACAAGCACCGTGAAGCGGCGAGCGGGGAAAACGCGGGCGGAAAACGATCTGAAATAGACAGCCGCGCGCGCGGGAGAGCGTTTATGCGCGTTTATTCGTGGTTGCGAATAAATGTCAATCTCCGCGGACGGCAAGAATGGCGGAAGGTCCGCGAACTCGACGACGGAGTTAATTGACACGAGTAGACGGCGGCGGGGAGAAATTTGCGCGGCCCCCGCGACGATGACTTGGGAAATATCAAATGCGGCTTGATGCGCGGCTAGCTAGAAAGGGTCGACGACTTCGAATAAAATTTTAACCATCGCCGCACCGCGTGTTTACCCGTCGTCAGGCGGCTTTCGAAGTTTCTTGTATGTTCGCGCAGTTAATCATTCATAAGTCATGCGGCATAAGCTATTTTTAGACGCGCGACGCGGACGCCTGGGCCTTGCAATCAACGCCAATACAATTCGCTATGGTATACCGTTAGAATGCAATCGTCGCGGCCGGCCGGCCAGCCGCGGCGCCTGCCCTCCCCAAAGGGTCACGGAAATATCGTATCCTCCGTAGAACCGCCAGTCCAGGATGTTCGCGACCAGGCATGTACGGGAATACTAAAAAGAAAAGAGGGTAAGAAACATGGGGCAGATAAATACGGACAAGTTACAAAGGAAGTATACCAGCTGCAATTGCAACATAAAAGTGTGTGTAATAAAACCTCTTGCCAACGGCGGACGCGTCCGCACTTGTAGATCTTGCTCGCAATTCCCTGTACTTCCTTCCAAGAAATCCACATCCACGGGGGAGGGGGGGGGGGGCGAGAAACGTGAAAATACGATATAACGCGAGAGAATCCTTCTTTCCGCGATTTAAGCGCGAAGCCAGGAAGTGGCGGCTTACGGGCGACAGACGCGGAGGCAGGTATCGCAGAGATATACCTACTGCCTATATAAGTATATTTATACGATCCTCTCTCTCTCTCTCTCTTTCTCTCCCCCTCTCGTTCTCTATGTGGAGACTATTCTCGCGCGGTCGCGAGAACAGAAATACTGTTGCGCGTCTTCTCGGACGTGCGGAGCGGGCGTCGGTATAAAATATTTTTTTGCCGGTGAAAATCCGCTATCTCGGCTCCGAGGCGAGGAACCGAGGAAACACAGATCTCCACTTTACGCGACCGCGAGAGGAAAAAGGGTGGAGGCGGCGACGACGGTGGAGACGCGAGAGTGCATCGGACTTGACGAGCTGGATCAGTACGTCGGACTCGGCACTCGGTCCTCCCGACGGTTATTGCGAGTGTTTCATACCGCGTTTACGATGGCCCCGTTGCCGTGTCGCGCCTTTTGTCAGAGGATAATTCGAGCCGGCTGCTCCTCGCTATGGCAAACGTCAAATCGGACGTGACGTCCGTACGTTATTTGGCGCCTCACTAAAACTATCTGTCCGGTCGCGCGTGGGACGTTTCGAAATGTCAAGAGAATCTTTTTCGCACGACAGTTTTTTTCTCACGAATGTATATTATACCATAATTGAGTCCGCGATTCGCGTGGCAACCAAAAATTGTCACTCCGTTCCAAGGAAGGCTGTCACTTGCGATCACTTTTAAACGTGTTTGTTATACTTAATTTCTATCGTAACAAGCGTTTATTCATTGCGTCCAAAACGTAGAATTAAAAAAAATAAAGACATTTCAGTGTTCCCACTGTTTATTTCTAACTTTATTTCACTGTTTATGAACATATTTGTGTATTCTAATTTTAACGTATGTATTCATTGAGTTATAATCATAGCTTCTTTTTCACTAAAACCGTCTTTAAGCTTTAAACTGAGATATAAAATATAACATAAAAAAACAACAAAAATAAATGATACAACTCCGTGTATTTCAATGAAGGCATTAATATTTGAGGTTGATATTTATCTTATTCTTTTCCATGACAAACAAAAGTAACTGTGAATTTAGTTGAATAAGAAAAATAATATTGTTATTCTCATAAACACTATCGATATACGATATTTGCAGATTTTTGCAAGGCAATCTATCTACGTCGGGGTGTTCCGGAAACTGTGCAAACGTACGTGATAAACGAAATCCGTTCGTTCGTCGAAGGTATAGAACGAACTCGGGATGAGGCGAAATCTGCATGTGCTATTACGTTTCCTTCGCCAACAATGGCCGTATTGTATTCGTGTACGTACATCACGGCGGGCAAATAGCGTCGTCGAAATCGCGAATTGGGATCGTCAATATCAATCTCGAATAGAGCGGGAGGATGTAAGCGGATCGAAGGGAGGCGTCGAGGCGAATGGAAAATAACGATTGCCTGATATCAGATCAGTCGGCTTGGAAGGTAATAAAATAAACCTCTCCTGCGCGCGCGCGAAGTATGCACTCTATAAAAAGAATCCGTCCGCCCGTGCAAATCGGAAAGTACGAGGTGTCAAATACCTATCGTCGTAAAAGAAAAATTGAGAAATATTTTGACGTTCCAACGTCGGAGCTTTTATACGCCTATGTCGTCTGCATCTCAGCGTTTCACGTATCAAGTTAAATTACATTTTGGTAAATAAACTCGAAATTCTAATTCTAAAATTCTATTAAAGGTGAAAATCGCTTACTTGCGAGGTATAGAAAATAAATAAGACTCGTAGTATTTTAGATTGTTGCTCCATATTAGAATCGTGAATAAAAATTTGGAGTTGGAGTATTTGCGCTTTGATTTGACTTTCGAAGATTTTCCTCGGTTTTCGCCACGCGTCCTTTCGTCTGCCATCTTCGCGCGAAACCAGTTATCCTTGATATTCAACGAGCCTACGAGACGCCGTCCTTCGGCGTCCAAAATAAAGTCCCGTATTCCCGCGAAAAACGGGAGAGACCGGACGAAATTCGCCTGGGCCAATAAAACTTGGTCGTTTCCGAGGCGTGTGAGTGTCGTTTCGCAGCCGCCGAAACGATCGGGCGTTCCTGTTTCTCGGCGGCCGACTGTGCGGAACGTCGCGTTTATTATCGTTGCAACGAAGCGCGTCGGAAACGGGCCCGTAAACGCGGCTGTTGGCACAATTCCGGGATATTCCTAGAGATATTGCGGGGGCATCGATATTCCCGCGTGCGCGTGTTATCAACACGTTTTCGCCGTCTTCTCACGAAGGGCAAATCGGAGTCGATGCACTTCGTCTTTCGGTCCAGTTCGGGATATTGCGAAAACGATCTCTTCTCGTTTGCGCATTGTTACGAGCAACGTTTCCGATATAACGAGCTTATGATGTGCTTCGGTCTATTACTGCTTCGTGCACATGCTTTCGTTTATTTAAACTCGAATTATATGGGAGGGGTTTTCGTATGCCGCGTGCAAGATGTTATAGGGGTAAAGTTCTCGCGTGTCCTAAACCGTAATTCTTTAATGGCCGTCCATTTTTACGTGACAAAGTGTTGCCTCACGCGTATCGTTTCACTTCGATCTTAAAATAGATCGGGCAAATTGATCGATCAATTGAATCGATTAACCAGACTCCGCGCGGGGTGAGCGAATCAGTCGGATGCAAAGATAAGCAGATCTTCCAGTTCGCGCGAACGAGTTTATCTGCCTTGCGCGGCAGCAAGGTCGCGGGTTTTTTAACTTTTATTGCTAACGACAGTTCTTCGAAAACTTGCAGAAAAACGCGAGAAGAATATCTCGTCAAGTCTCACGGTCGGGCGTAAGGTAAACGTTTGCGCGAGACAAAGACTGGCTGGCTGGCCGGTTGATGTCCCGCGTGACGAGCGCGCGACATGTGTTTACGAATCTCTCTCGCTCTCGGGAAGAAGCTGCATGCCGCAGGAATACGCGTTATTATTTTTCACCGTGGAATGCCGGTGAAAGCCATATTCGTCGGTCGCAAGGTTGGCAAACGTCTCGAGAACTGGCTGGCAATACCATTCTGCTGAATTTAGGGGGACCATCAGCTGGTCGGCCCCGAGCCATGCCGTCTCAGTTAATCCGACCAAACTGATGTAGGACGATCCTTCGTTAATCCATCGATAAATTGGCTGGTTCCGAATACTCGGATACACGAATACTCGTACACGAAGAGACCGTGCTCGCGGAACATAATTAAATTCATGTCTCCCTAATCACGATATATATCTCTTGCGTCTCTCGCTCTATTTTCTTACTTCAATTAATATTATTATATCTTTTTTCTTAATTAATTTCGCTCAACTAATATCGTTACGAAGTAAAATGTATTCATTATTCCGTTGGTAAGAGAAAACGTAAATATGCCTCGAGCATTGTTATTGCCGTATATTGTACAGAAAGATCGAATTTTACGTTGCAGAGAAATTTATTTATTAATGTACAAAAGCCTTTTGTGGCATAAAGAATAAATTGATATTCGTGTAAAAGAAGGAAAAAAATGCTGTTATTCCGTACAATTTCTCTGATAAAATCCACTATTTATTTAAACAGAACGAATGACACGCAAATGAGTATCGTGTTCGTTTAAACAGTTGAAACATTATAAATTATAACGAGAAAAACAGTAAAACACTGTCGGCGTTGAAAAGTTCAGAAATAAATTAGGCAAATAAGAGAGCGATATTTTGCTTTGAAAGATTCTCGGGTAAACGTTTAATTTCAAAAAAGTTGTCTCGATTTGCAATCCGGTTCTGAATGTACATCATCATGCGTATGTAGATGTACTCAATAACTTATGAGTTTCGTCTTACAATTATTATAGATTTATTAGTTTGGTCTTAAATATATTTATTTAATGTTTTATATTATATGTCAATATTGCGGCAATGTTTTATCATGTTGACAATTTTGCCCAATTCTTAATATATAAATTGATTTAAATTATTAAACAGGCTATCCGTATATCTTGTTTTCTTAATCGTCACCTGAATGTCAAATCATAATAAAAGATTTGGGATTGTGCAGCTGATTGGCGACTCAACTTGTACAGAGAGTGTGTGATCATGCTTAATTTTTTCATGCTGAAAATAGCTCCAAATGCAGCCAAAAAGTTCGAAATCTGTATGTATGCGTAATTAGAAATTTTATATTTATGAATAATCTCTGCGTACCAAGTATCGTGCCGCACTCTCATTTGCTTAACTTATTTGTGAATTATTTCCACGGAAATAGTAGTGAAAAAAAAATAAACGAGAAAGATATATTACGGTCCCTCTTTTTCAGTTTGAGACGAGGAGAATGTTTACTTACCTCTCGGTAGTACTTTTCACGAATTCGCCTTTCCAGAGACCGCACGTCAATTCGCGAGCAGTTACGGCGAAAAATATAAGATTTACAGCCAGGAGCACTCCAATCGGTCCAAAGAAATACGCCAAGATTTCCATGTCACCTGCAAAGCAAACAGGACGGATTTAAAATTCTGTAGAAGAGGAAAAACCGCGGTCTGCTTTACGATTGTATAACACGAGAGATTATTCCGCTCGCATAGTTACATCGTAATAAATAATTTTTGCAATTGCTTGTTTATTTAATTGCAAGTAAATTATATCGTGACGATATTTTTATAAGAATAATGTATATTATTTTTTATCGTATTATATAGCCTTCAAATTTCACGCGCAAATGTGAATAGAGCCTAAAATTCCGGTAAGTAACAATAACGCTGACGACGTTTACGCGATCAAAACGGTAGTAACGGGTTCCCTAGAATTCTCCATGAGAAACGAGCGCTGATTTCTATTTTGGCTTCACTAACGGCCCATCGACACGAAACGGTTCTTGCACCTGGATTAATCATGCGGCGGTTCTCGTCCGCGCAGGATGACCTCGGGGCCAGGTCGATACTCCAGATTTTGAGCAGTGCAAATACCCGAACGGCGGTGGCTGTTTCACGTTGCAAACTGGTTCAATAATAAACGGCGCGATCGACTGAATGGTCAGAGGGTTTATCCTCGCAATGCTTAATCCGACGTCTGTTCAAAACGCCGCGCCGTTCGCAGAAAACGCCGAGCAATATGTGAAAACGCTGCCGGTCTTCGATGTCGGAAATATGTCGCCGATGACATTTTGACTCGCTGCGTGAGTGTCATTATTGTTAATTAAAATTCGCGTAATTTTTATTCTACAGAATTATAAAGTTCTAATTTATCGATGAGGAGAAAGGCGCGAAGAGAAAGATGCGTCTCTCAACGGAATGCGGAAGGTGGACTTTCGTAATGCACACAGGCGGAAATGGACGGGCAGATTTATGACAAGCAAATAAATCGTACGGTGTCGACCTGCACCGACGGATCGACGCCGGGCGCGGGTTTATTTTCTTGCCCGTATCAACGGGCGGCGCGTTACGACAGAAAGAAAATAAGGCGCGTCGCGCCTGCCGGAAGTTGGCCTTCGTAACGAACGTCTGAATGTGTGACGCGTCGCCCACATTGATTCTTAATTATTTATGACGCCGCGCGGAGAACGGTAGTTCGCGATCGCGCGCGCGATAATAACCAATGGGGCGAGACGCACTTTGTTTCCGTTATCCAATAATGTTCGATAGCCGATAACTTTGCTGCAGCGTCATTGCACATTTGTCTCTCCCTCTCGCGGATAGCGTTGTTTACGCACCGCCCGGCCGCACATATCTCAAGCGATTAAATTTTTCGCTCTCTTCGCAGTGTGCGTGCACCATTTCCAAAAGGGGCGTAATTATTCCTCATCCCACAATCGGCCGCGGGATTAACCCCGCTTTCGTTCGATTTTTAACAAAAAAACAGCCACAAGATAAAAATACAAATATTATAATACTTTGTCTTTTTTTACGATTTTATGAATTAGATAAAATAACAATAAAATAAAATATGACAAAAAGGTTCGATTTAATGTGATTTGAGGGACAGTGTTCTTTTGTGGTATACAAAAAATTATATTTGCTCTTGTTGTACCAGGATAGTTTTTAGAATTATTTACATTCATGTAAACTCTTGTTGCTAAAAAGTATGCCAAGAATATATAACGCGCAATCCTTTGAAATGCGTTTCGGAAGCGTGGTAACAATGCTAACGGCCGCGACCTTTGTCTCTTGTTTTCTGTTATAATTCTCTCCCCCGTTCACTTGTAAATCCCTCTATTTTTTTAGAGGAAATGCTTTTCGTGAAATTATTATGTCTCTATCGGAACACGTTATTGTATTTCACGCGATAAACCGGAGCCAGATAATCGAAGGACAGAAATAAAAGTGGAAAATCCACCCGATTCACGAAGGGAGGTGGGTGAACGCGTGCGATCGCGCGATTGAGCGTGGTAAATTCTGCACGAGGTTACAACAACGAGGGTATTCCGATGGCGATCACGCGACCCGTCGCGCCGCGCCGGCCGTCGTGATCCCATCGAAATTGCGCCCGTCCGCGCGCGCGCGCGCGGGAAAGGGCGGTATGTGTTTAGCAGAAATCATGGTAAATCACGCGGAGCGTGCACTTACCCAATCGCGGGTCGCATCGCATCGGATCGGATCGGATCGGTTTCCCGGTTCCGCACCCGGTGCAAGGCTGCGCGATTCCCCGAATTCCTGGGATGTGCACGCGCTGGTACGCGTGCACGCTCGGATTTCAAGTTCAAGACAGACGTATCCTATATCGCGCCCGTTCGTTAAACCTAGATATTTGTAATACGCGCGAATTCATATTGCTTTACACACACGATATCGCGTGGATATGTCAAGTTTCAATTTATACTATGTTTATGATGTGAGATCAGAAATAAATGCGATATTAAAGCGAGATTAATTCCATCCGGGGAAAAAAGTGCAAAATTGTGATTTCATATAGATAGCACAGCAAGAAAATAATAATCTAACAATACTTCATTTTCATGCACAATGTAATATCGGAAATGAAATATTCCTAAAATTTAGCAACTTGATTATATATTATTTGACTTTATATTATATTATTCTACGACAAAATGTATAAATGATGGTATAAATAATGCATGGAAAATATACGCAATCACACATGACCTTATAATTGAGTTTATGTAGCTGCATTGTGCAAAGAGTAGAATTAATTTACATATTATTATTGTGTTTCCAGTTTATACATGAAATAATAAAATATATATGGTATTTACACCTCTTTCTCTCTTTCGTTTCTTCACGTAATGCAAATTATTAAAATAAATTGATTATGATTCAATCAATATTACAATCAAAATGTAACAAGATTATTATCAAATATCGAGTATTATATACTTATAAAATTACGCAACAATTTTATACAATAAAAATAGGATTCATATGTGAAGTCCGCTATTTCGATCTTTGGTAATTTGGTGACAGAGACCCTGGCCGACTCTCTCGACGGTCGAGCCGCTTTTATCGGGGTGATTTGACCCCTCGCAGCCAACCAGTCCCAATGACTCTTCCAACCCCATAACTACGGATGCAATCTGCCAGAAACAGGCTTCCATGAGGACGCTCCTCCCGTAGCCACTTATCGGCTACGGGGAGGCACCCGCGCGTCCGCAAACAAATCCATAAATAAAATTCTTAGCGGACTTAAAAAGCTTCGAAAAGTGGCAACGTATCGCACACCTTCCGCGCAGGATATTAAATTGCGTCTGACCCAGTGGAGATTTTTCTCGACAACTTTCCTCAAGGGCGACGGAAGTTACGACGAAAATTTGAAGCGAGTTCACCACGCGTCGAATTATTGATCGACCACGGGTATCGCGAGATTATTTTTTCGGATCTCCGCTCGATAGATTCGCGACAGAAATAAAGTGTCGGAGCAACGACCCGAGAAATTTCTGTCGCAAAAGTTGTACCTACAGTATATAAAGACCCACGAAGTCATCAATATTGTCGTAATATCCTACATTTTTCAAGCGATCCGCTAAAAAATTCGAGCGAGAATATTTATCACGGGGCTTGGCACGCCCGTGAAATTAAATCTAATGTGATTTAAGGTAATGCGACTTAGGCGACGCGCGTAAGCTTCACGTTATTTTCCGCTTGATATTTAAGAGAATGCTTTAAAGTTATGTGACGATGTTGGCTCTAATAAAAATAAGCTCCAGCCAGCTCACATGAATCGTACACAAGTTCATCCTTCCTTCCTTTAGCTCGTTTATTATTATATAAATTGATCGAATTAACAATTATTTGAATCAATGAAGAATAATGTTTGAAATTTATAATTTTTACAATTAAATTAAATTTTCAAATTTTAAAACTTAATTAAAATTTTAATTTTTATTTATTGGCAAAGTAAAATGTACCTGATCTTTGTAACAACTTTTGATTAACTTCAATTCGATCACGCAAGAAAATAATGACAATCTAAAAATCTATATCTACCATATAAATAATATTTATATTTACAATAAAATAAATCTATAACAATCTATCTAAAAACGATAATCGTAAAGATTTATTCTTTGTTATACGTATAGCAAAAATCAAATCGTCGAAAAAGTTGTTCTATATATCGCGAATTTGTGTTCGAAAATTGTGTATGTATGTATATATCCGATACGCGGTAATGAATAGATGATGCACATAAAACAATGTAATGCATTTTTTTTTAAATGCGTGCAAATATATCGGACCAACGAACCTTAAAAACGCTTAACGATCCAATAAAATGACATATATATACGTAAATATCGTCAATGTTTTCCTTACTGTATTTGTTAAAACATTTTTAGACGAGGCAAATACAAAAACACGAACAGTGTCGCGTGACTCTAATAAACACAAACAACGGTCGTATAAACACGATGTATGGCTTATATCGGATATAGCGAAATAAAATAAACGTAAAAATTACAGACGGGCAACGAATTGCGGTGAAACCGAACGACCGAATACAGATTTGCGTTGTTCGGAATAACTCCGTTACTCAAGCTCCGTAACTTTTTATCGACGATCACTGATTTCGTAAACCAACGCATATCACATAGCGCCAGAACGTATTCATCGCGAAACTCTGAAATAACGTTGAGCCAGAACGCGTATTCAGCGCAAAATTCCATTGATGTTTGCAATATACACTTTGCTTTTGAATCAATTACCGTTTCATTTTTTTTTACAGAATTAAAAAAATTTAATTTAATAATAAAAATTTATTTATTATTATTCATTTGTCAAAAGCGCTCCGCAAGTTCCAATTAAATGTGGAATTCTACCAGAATTTAATAATAATAATAATAATAATAATAATAACAATTTTATTAAACTGCAAATAAAAACTATTATAAACAAAAATAAAAGTACATTTCGAAACATCATAGAGAAGTACATTTGAAAAGATAAGGCATCAGAAATAGTGTTATTTATAAGTCTAAATCTATAATTACAATAGTAATAGTAATAATAATAATAATTAATTTGCGCGAAAATATATT